TGTCTCTAGAGACGCCAGATCGCTTGCAGGAACTGCGGATGTGCTCTGCCCCCCGTACCTTTGTCTGCTCGTCGCCGCTGCCGGTCCGTGATCCGATGTGGCCGGTGCGGCTGGGACCGGCACGGCGACGCTCTAACAGCAGATCAAAGGGAGATCATTACTTGATCATCCCTTTGATCTCTCTTCCTGTCCCCGAATGCAGGAAGTGATGTATATTACATCACTTCCTGCATTCAGTGTCACTCTCTGGTGCAGAACACCGGAGAGAAGCTGATGAAGCAGATCTCTGCTTCATCAGCTTCTCGGGGGGTCCTTAGGTGACATCAGAGGTCTTGGAGACCCCTGATGTCTCCATATGAATTGAATTGGCTATTACATAGGGGATTCCTTAGTCCCCTATGTTATAGCAATAAAGTTAAGTCTAAAAAAAAAGTTTAAAAAAAAATTACAGCATTAAAAAAAATAAAGAAGCTAAAAAAATATTCACAAATAATAATTAAACAAAATAACACAAAAAATGTTTTAAAGTCCCCCGCCCCCCCCCATACACACGCAAACATGCGTCGGGTGCGCCTATGTACAAAAACGACGATTGCGCCCATTATGCAGCACATGTTACATATCGCCGCGAACGTCGCAGTGAGAACAATAATTCTAGGGCCATCAATCACTGATGACACTAAACTGATGAGCGGTAAATACGTTTAAAGCGTCGCCTATGGCCAATTTTGGTTGCGGGAAGTTTTCTGCGATTTCGCGGGCGCGCGCAATTTTAAAGGTTGACATGTTTAGTGTCTATTTACCCGACGTGACCCCGTCTTTTATATTATACCAAAAAATTGGGGTGAAAATAAATGTTTCATAACATTTTATAGGGAAACATGTTTTTTTTTCAAAATTTAGGGTACTTTTTTTGTTATATAGTAAAAAATAAAAACCCCAGTGGTGATTAAATACCACTAAAAGAAAGCTCTATCTGTCCCCAAAAAATGGTATGAAATTCATTTCAGTACAGCGTTGCATGACGGAATAAACATCAGTCAAAGTACCGCAGCGCTGAATACTGAAAAATGGCCTGGCCAGGAAGGGGGTGAAACACCATGGCCTTTAAGTGGTTAAAGTCCGCATGATTAAAAGTGATGATATCACTTATAACAAATGCTGCTCCTTGATGTTTACACATTTTAGTTTCCTGCAGAATCAGCTGGTCCCCGGACTGCCCCTCATATACTGTTTTAGGGTGGCTATTTTCCCTTACAGGTTTCTATGGAGCCCCCATTGTGTTAGTAAGCTGTGTGTGTCTCCACAAACACACAGACACAGCAAGGCAAGCTCAGCTCCCTGCTCCCCCATCCTCATCCCTTCTCCCCCACACTTCTCCAAGTTAGTAGATAGACGGCTGTTGCAGACTGCTCTGTCCCTTGTGAGCTTGTTCTGGACAGGGTGTTCAGGGAAGCTGAGCTGAGAGAGCCGGAGCTGTTTGGAAAATTAGGGGAATTTATCAAAACTGGAGCAGACAAAAAAAAATCTGGAGCAGCTGTGCATAGCAACCAATCAGCTTCTAGCTATTATTTTCAAACCTTAACTGAACAAATGGAAGAGAGAAGCTGATTGGTTTCTCTGGGCAACTGCTCCAGATTTTTTTTGCTCCAGTTTTGATAAATCACAAAAAACTGTGAGTGCTTGGGCAAAAATGTAAATAGTTTATTTGCTGGGCAATGTATGCTTGTTTATTATTTATTATTATTTAAAAAAAATAAAATAAAGTTAATGCTACTTTAATCTCTGCTGCCTGGCGGTGAATAGATTTCCCCTTTCTTAAATCAGGAAATTATTGTTTCAACGCGTAACTGATCAATTTCATATAAAGGAGTTGGAAAGTCACAACATATACTATTTTGTTATAACATCAGCATTGTAATAGGAATACATACTAGAGTTGTTTTTCATAATGCAATTAACCAGTTGACATCCGGGGTGTTAAACCCCCTTCCCATCCAGGCCATTTTTCAGTATTCAGCTCTGCGGTAGCTGCCCATGCGCGCCCGCTAGGGGGCGCGCGCGAGCAGAAAAAAAATGCCAACCCACCAATGCTGCAGTGCCGTCACCCGGTTTTTTACAACGGGCGGACGGCAAGTGGTTAAAGCTTACTTGAGAAAAATCCCTTTTATGTAGTGAGTGCTGCCTCCTGTCTACCCATCACTTTCACCAACTTTCTGAATTCCAAGTTTGCTTTGTGTCCCTTTCCCTGCTACTTGACGTGATGCAATCTCGATTTCTAAAGACTACACATCCCATCATGCATCGCTTCCAGCAAGCAATGATGATGTTACATTGTTCAGTGTTGAGTTGTAGTTCAGAAGGTAGGCTGTGTGTGTTGCGAAACAAGGAAGTGCATATTCACCGGGCAGAGTGATGTTTAGGGGTGGGATAGAACTTATGGAAATTCAATATGGAAATACATATTTATTTTCAGTTTTGGATCATAGATACCCTTTTAGAAACATGCATTTATTGATTTTTGTATTCAGGCCTGGAAAGCATTGCAGCTGCAATCAGTGGATTGTGGGTGCAATGCTCCTGCTCTTAACAACTCTTCTCCCAGTCTGAGGACCTTATGAAGGTACTGACCTTTGGCTGAAGGACAGCTGGACTACAAAGTCCATGCTATTGTGTCCAGCCGCCCTCCTCCAGCCTAGACGCATAGCTATAATTCCTTCCTGAGAACATGCTCACAGGTTATAGGTCTCTTGAAGCCCTGCCTCCCTGCCAGACTGCTCCCAGCTCACTAGACTATAGGCAAAGACAGGACCGGGCTCTGCAGCTGGAACTAGAAGAATTGGATTTAAAGTGTGTGGCTATATAACGTATGAGGTACATACTCCGCAGTACTGTCACTGATAGTTATGGGCTCAGGCGTGTGCGCAGCTCCACATGCCGAGCCCACCAGGAAGCTGACAGTGCGCAGTGCCAATCACAGGCACTGAGACATTTCCCGATCTCTGCAGCTGTGGACCGGGAAAATGGAATGCATAGCTAAACATATTGCACCCGCCCTCTGCTGCTGTCAATCACTAGAAGGGGACCTGATGGAGAACTGCAGGTCCCCCTCTGCTGATTGGCAGCTCAGAGGGCGGGTGCAATAGCTAGTTTGCTATTGGCTTTTACAAAGTGAAATAGCCAATAGGAATCTAGCTATGCATTCCTATGGTGGGGTTTTTTTCTTTTGACTTACGGCAGCCCCCGATTTTCAAAAAAAAACAAAACAGAGCAGAGAAAGTGTTTTTCTCCAGGCGGCCGAGAGCCACTAGGCGACCCCTGGCAAATCGTCATTCGACCCCTGAGGGGGTCCCGACCCACAGGTTGAGAACCACTGCACTAGAGCAAGCAACTAGACACATGCTCATTCATGCATTTTAAGGCCTTGTTCACACCAAATGCAGAGCAGATCTGGTCAGGTTTCTGCACACGCACGCTAGTCTTTTAGACGCGTTTTTGATGCGTTCCGGGCTCTTTTTGGTATTTTTTTTTTTTTAAAGGAGAACTATCAGATGAGTGATTTCCACTCACCTCATAGTTCTAGCCGACCTGTGACAATGAGACTGTCACAGGTCGGCTCAGTAGATCGGGAGGTGAGCGAACACATACCGGGTTCGCTTACCTCTCGATCCTGTCACGGCTCTCTGCCGTGACAGGGGGAGGGGCTGGATTCCCCTCTCCCCGCTCCGATCTGCCAGCACTGACTGGCGGAACGGACGGGGGAGGGGGCGGGTACAGCTGGCTCTGCCTCTAGATAGGCAGAGCCAGCTGTCACTCACACAGCTGGGCGGATCCCGTCATCTAAGTCGGGATCCGCTCCGGCTGCAGCGTATCAGTATACCGCGAGCTGTAGCTTGTGGTATACTGAGCTTAGGGTAACGGGAGGACGCTAGTTTGTCTCCTCCCATTACCCTAAGGAGAACGATGGGGAAAAACACTGACCCCATAGTTCTCCTTTAAGTTTAAAATGGGCTTTCAATGCATTCCAGGCATTTGCATGCGTTTTTGATGCATTCCAGAGCAGATCCAGAGCAGGTAAAATATTGCCTGCTGCAGTTTTTTCACCTGCTCTGGATCTGCTCTGCAACTGCACTCTGTGATGTGAACTGGAGCAAAAATACCATTGGAATACATTGGACGCAGTTTTGATCCGGTCTGCAACTGATCTGCTCTGCACCTGCTCCGCGCTTGGTGTGAACAAGGCATAAGGCAGGGGTAGGTAACTCCTAGGAGAGATTGTGTTTTCTACAGGCTGTGTGCATGTGGCCGGGCGCACAGTGTAAATCTGGGCATATTTCGCCACCTGGGAGCCACAGGAGCTGCATACAGCTGACCATAGAAATCAATGTCTGTATATGGATATATGCTGGACTTGCATATACATGCTTCAGGGTTGCACGTCTGTATGCATGTATTTGTCTGTTTTTGCAAGCCTGTCATATGCCCACATACATCCAATAATGTCTACGGGCAATTGTAGGCAGTGCCAGTAGCTCCTGGGCGGAAAAATACACCCGAATTTTGATGTATGGTCCAGGCTGCTGTATGCAGGAGCCCTTTGTTTTCACCAGATAGTATGCCAGGCATGTACATGAAAGTATTATTATTAATGAGAGTGGCCACATACATAATTATACAATCATTTGTTATAACTGTTGAATTGTATCTTTCAGAAATACAAAAAAACATTTATTTTTCTGTGCATCAAAGTATTTATTTAAGGAAAATTATGGTGAAAAATTAGACTCATAAATATTTATCATTACAGGTATGAAAAACACCTACATTCTTCAATAAAAGAAATAGCACTGTTTATATTTTACAAGCAAGGTACTTTCTAGAGAAGTAACTGAATGAAAATTGATCCATTCATCTCGTCCCCTGAGAAGGCTCCACCCCCTTCCTGGCACACCGGAACGAGGCTTGGCACGCACCTCGCACTGCGCCACCGGCTATATGAGGAAGTGTCGCCGTGACGCTTTTTGACACCTCCCAGAAACCTCTGCGCTGCAGACAAGGTCAGGTTCGTTGTAAAGATGGCCGGCCAGGTACAGTTGTTTCGAGCTGGTCTCCGGAATGTCCTTTTCATGCAGATGCGCTACTCCTCTGACCAGGTGATGGTGAAAGCTGTGTGATTGTGAGGGGGCAGACTGTGACTAAGGAATTAGGCCAAGAATCGGTCATGTCATGCTGGGGAAGGGTGGGGTGGACAGGCCGGGGCTTGTGATTAGAGAACACACGTGAAACACGGCGCTGAACTGGATCCTTCTACCGTTAGTCACTGCCTCCAAGGACTATACTTATAGTTTTATTCCACTGCCTTGATGGTGGTTTGATTCTTCTGTTGGTCAATGCCTGAAACGATTTCAAATTGCAACTTCAACAATTAACTTTTGAGTGATTACAATGAAACAGTGAGGGATTCCTAAAAACGGAAGCCTTTGCCCGTTGCAGCCAATCCGCTTCTCTTTTCACTTTGTTCAGTTAAGCCTGGAAAATGATATTAGGAAGCTGATTGGTTGCCTTGGGCAACTGCTTCAGTTTTTATGAATGCTCAGGACTCCACCACAACAACTGTAATGAGAAATGTAATGTGGCTATTGCAAGCTTATAGAGGATGGAGCTGACAATGTGGGTGATTAAAGGGCAACTAAATGTAATGCTTTATAGCTATATGGGGCTTACACTGCTACTTGTGTAATGCTGGCCACAGCTTAGCTGTGCCTTTCAGCCAGGCTGCAGGAGATGCACATGTGGCTTGCAGGTATGATGCTGACATCTGACTATTTTTTAAAAATGGCACAGTGCATTTACAACTACTAGGGCCCCTTGTCCACATATCTTTTGCAATTGCATTGGGCCGGAATATGGGCATTGCTGTGCCATACGTTCTGGTGCGGGCAATTGCTCTGCGGCCAGGGGGCGTGGCTGCAGAACTGCCCTGCCCCACCCCAGAAGGCAGGGAGCTAGATGGTTTGCGATCCAGTGCGTTCCAGCAGCTAACCATGGAATGGACTGGAGATGATGTGAATGGGCCCTAAGGGCCGGTTCACACCATAGAGTGCGTTCCAGTGCATGCAGCATTTTTACAGATCACGCAGGTACTGATGTGCTGGCAGTTGCACTGTGGTCGGGGGGCGTGGTACATCTCAACATAACATGGATTAACATGCTCCACAATGGACCTAACCAGGGTGAACAGGCCATAAAAACAAACATGTTTCAGGTTTGCATTAAATAAATAATGTATGCATTCTTTTTCTGGACTGTCAACCGTTTTAAATGGCAAATTACATGTTTGTGGGCCTCAGCACTTCTAATGGGCGGAGGGCATCTTTTTTGATGAAATAATTATTTAGTGAGCTAGGAGTTAAATTTCCGCAAGGCAAAATGTCCACCTGGTTTACCCTAAAGGGATTCTATAATTGTAATATATTCGGTACTAAATAATCGAGGGGTTTTAAACTGTTTAGTCAAGTGCTTGTGAAATGTTTTATTTTCCACTTGCAGTGATCTGGTGGAGGGCTGTCCAGTATTAGAATCTGTGATGGTTCTCTGGCTCCTATGCTAAAAATAGACCAGGATAGTGCATGCATATTCATTTGAAAGCCTGGTACTATTTTGGCACAAATCTATTCTTGATTGTGTGTTGCACAATGTAATAGGAGTCTATTGGTATGAAACGTTTATTTTTTTTTTTATTTTTTTTTACACTTCTTGCCTATATCTACTGCATGCTAGCAGTAGATATAAGCAAAAAAACCCGGAGGGTTTAGAACCCCTTTATCTTCATAGGTATGTATACATCGGGCTTTGCCTATTAAAACCAGCAGGACGTTGAGGAATAAATGTAGCTTTGATTGCCGAGTGAACTTGTGGCGCAATGACTACTCAGCTGCAGCGGTTTGTATTTTCTTTTTCCTCTGCTTTATTGCACTTCTCTGTAACAAATAAGATTTAAGTTCAGAACCCACTGTATTTATGTAGGGTCTAGGAATTCTGTGCAAGTGTAAAACAAATTCAGTACTTTGAAATCTGTTGTCTTTTTCTTCAGTTAGGAGAATTGGGAAAAGGTGCTGGTAAAGGCGGTGGAGGCGGGGGAGCCGTGAGAGAAGCCGGAGGAGCTTTTGGCAAACGCCAAGCTGCTGAGGAGGAGAGATATTTCAAGTATGTCGGTTTTATTATAAAGCTGTATATTGAAGTCTAAGCTGTGCTAAAATGAAACATGAAGTCCTACTTTTCTCACATTATAAAAATGAACTCCAGTGTTCCCTCTTAGTCTTGTACAGTTGCACAGGCTCCTCTCCTGGACTCTCGCCTTTTATGATAGGGAGATTAAAGCTGAAATTTAATGTATTATTTTGTCTTCCTTGGTACCCCTTTTGCCTCTAATGTCATTTTTCAATTACATCATTCTGTGTTCATTACATTCCTTAATTTGGATCAAGTAATATTACTGGGTGTCTGTTTTCCTGTGCAGTGAAGGCTGGTGGGAGGGCGTGGCAGGGTTCTGTACATAGCTTCCTGAAAACATCACAGTGCCCTGCCTCAGTACTGGTCTCAAGAGCACTTAGCCCTGATGCAAGAAGTGGGCTAAGAGTTATGCAAATATCAAAATGCATTGATGGGAGGGTACTAGTGCGGAAGAGTGAGCATTCTTAACCTAGCCATACACCTATAGATTATCTGCAGATTTTCTATGGTCAGATGGAAAAAGTGCAACAGATTCCTCCATCTACGCTAAACTGTGGATGGCGAAATCTCCCACTGGGCCAAGCTTCAGTATCTTGATAGCCGGCCCCGCTGGCTGTCGTAATACCTGAACAATGCCTGCATCCAATCAGATTGTTCAGGTGTTTTGAGGGGGAAGGTGGGGGGGATAGAAACCCTAGTTAATGCAGCATGTGTAGCGAAGAAGCATTTGTGTATTGTTGACCATGAAAATATGTAAGCAATTCTCTAATCTCATCTTCCATATCCTACAGACAAAAGGAAAGGGAGCAGCTGGCTTCTCTAAAGAAGCACCACGAAGAGGAAATCCACCATCATAAGGAGGAGATTGAACGCCTGGAAAAGGAGATTGATCGGCATAAGAACAAAATTAGGAAACTGAAAGATGATGATTAGTGGTTTCACTGATCTGCTTAGGTGTTGCTTACTGTCTTTTGGGGGAACTCAACATTAAAAGCTTAATTTTCTTCTGTGATACAGAGTTGTGATATCCTTCAATATATCTATATCTCAATAAAACAATGGATGTCAGCCAGTTAAGTATCAAATCTATAGTGCTTTCTTTGGGAGGATTGCATAATGGGTTACATTCTTGTGTGGGTTTTTTTTCTTCTCTGCAATTGCATACAAGCACATAATGCTGAACTCTAGGCACATATAAAAGACCTACGTTAATGCAGCTCTAATCATAAAAGCATCATTGTATGTATCTTTTAAATAGAAGCAGTGTAAGTACCTCTTGCAGGCCCTGTACAGCAAGGTGGAGTGTCAGAGGAAGAAGCAATACAAGGACTCAATTAGTTAATGCATAACAAGAAGCAAGCTAATAGGAAGATAAAGCACAAGTACCTGGTATCAGGACATCTAGTGGCAGAAAATAGTACTGCATCAGAAGTCTTTGGATTAAAGCAGAACTCTGGACAAAAAAATTAGCCCTAATTTGCTCGATTTTTCTGCCTAGGGTCAAAATGGTTATATTCGCCTGATCCTCTGCGTCGGGCGGCTCTTAGACCAGTCTTTGGGGCATCTCTTCCCCGTCTGGTGCAGTGGTCTAAGGTCCCTAAATCATCATGTTTTCTTTTTTAGTGTATAGGACTGGACAGCTAGCTGACTCAGAGGATCGGGTGAGTATAACATTGTTCTGTTTGACCCTAGGCAAAAACATACACTTAACACTTGCAGTGTGAGGTAGCCCCTCTGCAAGGGTTAATATTTTTTTTTTTTGCCCGTAGTTTTTGCACCAAAAGCTGGTTTTGTTTTATCTTTTAATGTGCTATTCATTCTATTGCTTTTAGATGGAGTTCAGCTTTTAAATTTCAGACACTTTTTTTTTTTTTTTTTAAAAGCAGAGAGGCAAGATTAAGAACCCTTGTGACTTTACTGCTAGCCACCTATTTATCAGTCCAATGGATGGAGTGGTGTGTATGCACAGTAGACTCTGGATGCGGCCAAGACTTTTTCTTTTCTTCCCTGTTAAGTCTGTGTGGAGCTGGATAGGGCTGCAAAGTGAAGATCTCTGGAGTGAGATGGCAAGTATTTAGGTATGTGAGCTAAATTGACAAGGTTTGGGGGGTAAAGGATAAAGTGTAGTTGTCCTTTTAAGACGATCACGATAGAGGTACTTACACAGCACCCTATCACCTCCTACAGGGATAGATATATATATATATATATCCCTGTAGGAGGTGATAGGGTGCTTGCTGTGCAGTAGAGGTGATACAGCCAGACACTAAAATATGCAAATAAGCTCTATATATATATATTTGGGGTTTATTCATTAAAGAGCCGAAGAATCCAGCCGTAGCTTCGGCTGATCCTTCGGCCGCCTCTGCCCTTCAGTTCAGTCGAATCTATTCACAATTGTTATGATCAACAACTTCCAAAATCAAATGTCTCATGCAAGACCTGTATAATTATCAGTGGGTATATTGCAAATGTATGAAAATGACCTAAAACTAAACTCTCTTCCAATGTGTACTAAAGTCTGATATTGTAACACCTGCTGAAAAGAGTTTTTGTGCTATGGTATTTAAACTAACATGAAAAGCTAACCCCCCTATTCACTGCGCCGGGTGTGTTTTTTTATTTTGGTGATGCGGGATATGGATCTGGTTCTAACCGTTTACAGTCATCCATTTGGCCAATCGACTTTCTTAGAGAATCTCCAGTCCGCAACATGCTTAATAGAAGACATTCCCTGTTTATTGCCTGCCAGGATCTTGTGTATCTCATTTAGGGAATGTTGCTCTAAGAACATCCTGTAAGAAAAACATGATTAAGGAGAAACAAAAAATTATTAAAACTTAGATTAACTGTGAAATTTGCATTTCTGGATTCAACAAAATGTGGGGAATATTTTTGCACCTTATGGCACATCCAAAGCAAAGTTGGCGTGAAAAAAAAGGGCATTTAAAGAAGACCCATTGGGGGAGAGAATTCATTCTTTCCAATACTTTGGATGGGCACAGCTGGTTCTGGCTCTAGAAAGGTAGAATCAGCTGTCAATCAGGCAGCCTGCCCCTCCCCATGCTACACCTCGAAGTCCAGGTTTTCCATTTACCAAGAAAATGGTGTGCAGTGTCTACCTCGCCATGCTGCAAGAATTCCTTGCCAAGCTGACAAGGTTTCTTGCTTCCTATTGGCTTTTCAACAGTGTCCATTGATTAAGCGTAGGGGTGTACACATTTAATATGGAATTCAGGGGCTCATCTGTCCAATACATCCCCATGCTACACCTCGAAGTCCAGGTTTTCCATTTACCAAGAAAATGGTGTGCAGTGTCTACCTCGCCATGCTGCAAGAATTCCTTGCCAAGCTGACAAGGTTTCTTGCTTCCTATTGGCTTTTCAACAGTGTCCATTGATTAAGCGTAGGGGTGTACACATTTAATATGGAATTCAGGGGCTCATCTGTCCAATCCAGGAGGCAGT